TTCTTTTCTTTTTAGATCCCTTATATTTGAAATATCTTATTTTTATAGACTTTCACAACTCTTTACTTCAAATACATTAGATCAAAAAAAAAAAATCTAGACTCTCCTATAGGGTTATCCTAAACAGTTAAAATAAATACATTCCAAGCAGTTATATATATGAAAATAAAAGTATTCATGCCAGTCACACTTGTCCATACTTTTATTTATTTGGGAGATAAACGACTGAAGCACTTGTAGCAGTTATATATATGATTTATTTATTTTAACCCCTTTTTTAGTGCTCCCATGGGCATGACCACCTGTAGAAAATATTGTTAGTAGCAAGATCTCCCCTAACCTATGGGTAATCTATCGCACAACACATCATAAAGATAATGCAATAATAAAGCTCGTTATAAAAGCGAACATCACATAAAATTAAAACAACCAGCACACAAACAATTCTGTGTGTGTAATAGCTGTGTGGTCTTGGATATACCCTATTTTGGGTAATTAATTCAAGTTACTTGTGATCCGATTTGTTGAAGGTTAAGAGGAAAATTTTTAATTAAAGTTTAAATATTAATGTTTTGAGATTAATTTTAATTAATTTAGTGGTTAGTCAATTTTAATGCTTAGGATAATATTCTCTTAAATTTAAGTTGAGTAAGCGAATTTTAGAAGGTTTGAGGTCATCCTGTCCGCTAGATTAAGGGCTCCAAAGTTGACTTTTAAAAACAAGCCAAGTTTTGGGATCCTAGTATTTTTATCAAATATTAGATCTTATGGGGAGTAATTAAACTTTGAGTTTGCTGGATTTAAAATTTTATATGCAAAGTTATGACTTTTAGAAGTTTTGGGCCTAGTTATTGAACTACGGTTGAATGAGGAGTCAGCTTTTTAATTTAGGATGGTTTTTGAAATGCTCATATTTTTAATAAATACTAGACTTTAATTATAGTTGAATGCCTTTTAGTTTATCAAATTTAGATTTTTTTTAAATTAGTTATGATTTTTCAAAGTTTGAGTATTTAGTGAATTATTAAAATCGTCTAATTCAAGGTATTTTAGGGACTTTGATCCAAATCAGCCTCAAACCTCTTGGAATCATCTCCAAAAGTTAGGAATGACCCAAGGAAGAATTTTCAAGTGTTTGAGAAAATTTTAAAATTTTTCATAATTTTTTATTATTTAATTTAATTAAAAGGGAGATTTTTAATCAAAATTAAATTAATGTTCAATTAAGGTCCAATTAAAAGGCTTTTAATTTTCTTGGATTAAGGGTTAAATTCTGAAGGGTTTGATATATCATTCACAATTTTTGGATTTACTTTGAATTTATTAGAATTTTTTGAAGTTATTGAGGTTTAATTAAAAGGTGAATGAGGGTTTGTTAATTAAGTGGGCTTAAAGGGCACTAAAAATTTCTAGAAAATTTTAAGGGATTTGAAATATCACTAAGTTTAAATGTTTTAAATTTCATGTCATTCTGAGGTGTACCATAGTCCCTAGAATTCTCTAGGTTTTCTAGACGGGTCCTAATTATTATTCATAAGGTGTCGTTAGGTTAAATAAGTTTAAATCAAATGTGATGAACCAATTCAATATCAGGTTCATCCTCGTCATCGACAACCTCTTCAATTATGGCGATCTTATAGGGGCTTGAACACTATGAGACAATTTGCCCATAATCATGACAATTAAAACACTTGGTTCCAGGGTTAATTTTTGGCGCCTCACGCTTAGGAGTTTTACCTTTATAGTCAGGGCGGGGTTGGAATTGACCAACAGTGGGTCGACCAGTCATAAAAGCAGGAGGTTTGTTTTGAGGTTGACTGGAGGAAGTTTTAAAAGGATGCAGACGAGAGTCTTTGTTTTATAAAATGGGACTGAGTCCTAGATTCTTCTAAATTAAGTATAAGACTGTAAGCTGCTTCCAAAGTAGTAACTCCTCTAGCGAAAAGTTCATTATGATGGTCTTTCCTAAGGCCAGCTCTAAACATGGATAGGATTTGAGCAGGTGTGGTGGTCTCTTCGCCACTACAATGAATCATGTAATCATCAAAGACAGACATATAATCTTTCACAAATTAACTACCCTGAGTCAGTTTATTCCATCTATCTAAAAGTCTGGGATAGTAGGATGGAGGGAGGTATTTTTGTTTGAGTTATTGCTTCATAGCTCGCCAGTCAGTGACGGGGTATTCACCACGAGCTTCATGCATGTTTTCTAGGTTCGTCCAGTATTGATTAGCTCTTCCAGTAAGCTTTATTTCAGCGAACCTAACCTTCCTAGCTTCCGATATATTATACCACATGAAATAACTATCCATTCATTTAAGCCAATCAAGAAAAACTTAGGGATTGAGGGTACCATCAAAGAAAGAGACATCTATACAGGTATTCTTAAGTAATTGAGCGTCATTATCTCTCCAGTTTGGGTCATAACCTATGGGTTCATGATTGGGCTGTGATGGTTATGACGGTAAGGGTCTCGTGGAGGTCCATTATGAGCTCGTGCCTCTTCAACATAAGGGGAAGGAGGCCTAGAAAGGATATACATCGTCTGGTTCCCTAGTCTTTCAATGTGGTACAAATGTTCTTTAGCTTGTCGTCTAAAGTTAGCTAACTCGCCTTGAGTTTATCTTATTTATTGGGTCACAGTTCTTAATCATCCTACAATTAAGTTTAAAGTACGTTGAATTTGCTCGGGATCCATTGACTCAAATTAGATAACTAATGTAGACACAATAATAATGTAAAGATGATATATGGAGGTGGATGCAAGCTATGACGTCTACTAAAAGCAAGTGGAGAATCCTAGAATGCAACTAAAACACAACCATGCTCTGATACCAAGATGATGTGAAATATAAAAGGATTTGCAGGAATTCAATAAAATTTGTTAAGCTTGCCAATTTTTTAAAATTAATTTTTCACAAGATTAGATTCTAGGATTTCTCAGTTATTGTTTGCTTTGGCATGCAGTTACAAAATAGATTAGAATGGCAATTTAAAATAACAAAAAAACTATAATAAACATAAATGCGCAAGTAACAGAAATCTACTAGTTAACAATTAGAAAATTCACCTTGAATTCCCCTCACTCACACTCTTAAGAGCTATTTAGCGGAGGAATAATTTTAGCAAACTTAATGACGCCACCAAAAGATAAAAGATGCATGCAGTATTGCCCAACGAAAACTTATCCGGAGGGGAAGAAGTTGGTGGATGTTGGAGAAATTTCCACTGTCCGGTTTGATGCTAGTCGATGGTGGTCGTCAAACTGAAGAGGATCCGATAGACGTAGTCTTCGACGGTGTGATCGATCTCCAAGTTGATGTCGAAGAAGGGTGATCTCAACACATCTACGCGTCCTTGATGATCGTATACAAACCCATGGTCTTGTTCAGGATCGGCCATTCATGGGGAAGTAGGCCGAGGTTGTGTATCTTCTTCCTATGATGGTGTATGAAGCAAGGGAGAAGAGATGGAGAGGAGGGAGAGGTTTGGGTGGTCGGCCAAGGCTAGGAGAGGGGCCACTTTAATTTCATATTTTAGGTTTATGTTGGTTAAGGGGAAATGAATTAAAATTTGAAATTTAATTTCAGATTTTAGAATTAAAAATGAGGGAATAATTTTGAAATTCAAATCTCCTCTAATTGGGGAATATGTGGGGTAGCACAGCTTGAAAGGAGGGCTTTGATTGTGAGCAAAAAGGGGAGGAATTAATTAAGAGAGAGGGACTGGGGGGCCTGCCAAATGAGAGAGGGGAGGGAGTGTCCACATTCAATGAATGTGTCTACATGCAATGAATGTGGAATTTGGGATTAAATCCAATTTAATTTCAGATTGGTAGCAATTAGGGGAGTTTCCAAAATAGGTTTAGGCTACTTAGGAAAGATTTTGGAATTCAAATTTATTTGAATTTGAATTAAGAGAATTTCCTAACTAGTAATGGGCTAAATTAGGAAAGTCTTAAAGAGGCAATTTGAATTGAAATCAAGGTGATTGGGGTTCGGTCGGCGGCTAGGGTTTGGGGAATAGGATGGCTGGCGGCTATAGGAGGGGAAGGGTTTAGGGTCGGCGGCAATGGGGGGTTTTGAGGCTTTGGCCGATGGCTATGGAGGAGGACCTTAGGGCCGGTGGCTATGGAGGAGGACCTTGGGGCCGACAGCTAGGGAAGGGGTTTTGGGGAGGCTTAGGTAGGCGGCTATGGGGAATTTTGGTGTCGTTGGCCGGCGGGTGGTGGAGAAGAGGGAGGGGATTTGGAGAAAGAAAAGTGACCACGAGCCCGGACACTTTTTGCGGCTGGTGGGTGTTGCTTTGCCTTCACCTATGGGCTTCACCAATCTCTAGAGCTCTCAACACTCAAAGGAACTAGAAGGCTGAAATTTAATTAAACAATCATCATCATCTCAATACAAAAGCTAGGGCCTTCATATATAGGCCTCAAGGAACAAAACACAAAGACTAAATTGCCCTCTGGGTCACAACACAAACTAATCCCTCTCAGGGGTACAATGGTAAAAACTAGAACATAAATAAAGAAATACATAAAATGCATCACAAGTAAAGACTCCTAATCGTAGCCGTCAATCTACGATGTCTCCTTTATTAGACGCGCCAGAATCTCCTGCTGATGTCCTCATCAAGTTAACTTCGACATCAGTTGATCAATTGGAAATTCAGAACAAGAAACAACAATGAAAATAGAGCGGCATAAAATTTTCTATTTATTACAATAATTTTCACTGATAAATGGAAAATTTATTAACAACAGATTCCTTGTTAAAAGTTCAAAATTCCACTTTGCAAAGCATGAATACAATAACCTTTAAAAAATAAATAAATATTCCAGTATGCAATATTGGAGAACTTAGAACTGATGTACCTCACAGCATAATATTACAGACTAAAAATATGATATTAATGAAGATCTAATAGAACAGATAAAAAATTCTATTTCATCAAGATGGGGCCATTATTATAATTCTGATAGCAAAAAGGTCACCAACCTGTATGCAGCTTGAACAGAAACTTGCCTCTTCTTAACCGAAATCATAGCTTTTGTATGGTGAATTGTACCAAATGACAAGTTCAGAGAGTTTGGGAGAGATTTATGTGATGGCTTCACGTGAGAACCTTAAAACAAAAGGGAAGGATAAGGCAAAAGATGGAACAAACAATCAATAATAGAGAACATTTGTAGCTGGGTCACTTACAAAAATATGACTTCCTCAAGTTACTGGAAAAAATAAATTGATGATTGAACTATAGGAAAATATAAGTTAGAACTTATACATGCCAATAGTTGGTTAGAAGCAAGCCATGACAGTATAATTTATACAGAAATGAAAACTAAATCTTTAATCTATGATTAACACAGCTACAATAGATGCCACAAAATGGGGTTATCTTTTCTGAAGCAGAGCAAGGTGTGATAAGGCATCGTACAAGTATATATGTGCATATAAAAATCCATATAATAATGTAAACATATCAGGACAACGAAATAAAAAAAAAAAATTACATCAAAAAATTGTTATGTTTAAGTTATATACTAACTAAAGCTGAATAACCAACGGCAAATCTTTCTTTTTTAGATTATTGGGTAAGAGCAAAAACAAAAAAGAAGAAAAATCATAATACATTAGTATGTGTGTACATACATACATATAAAATGGATATCGAGATCAAATAACGTTAGGTCTATGCTACATTTTCCAAAAATGTATTGTGACTTGACACAATTAGAAATTCAACTCCGAACATATATTATATGAGCAAAGTTTGAAGGAAATTCTAAGTTGAAGTATGCTCCTATAATGCCTCCTCTCAATCTACGTAAACCTAGAAAAACCTATAAAGAATCAATAGACTCACCCACCTTAGCCCGACAGTAACTTGTGGGTTTAGCCAGGCCATTAGCTGTTGACCCTGGTAACATAACTAGTTGAATTGATTAAACAAAAATAAATTCTCGTAAAACTACTTCAAGCAAAAAAGTTTTGCAAATTTTATTCAATATGTTATTTATTTATATAATTAAAACTAGCCATTTCAAACATTTTTTTACATGGATTTTTGCTCAATAAAGAGCCATCCACTAGGCTCACAAAATTTGGCTTGATGTTGCTAGCCCAAGCCACAAGTAATAAACTAAGAACTACAAATATAAGCATGGAACACAAAGACAAATGCAATAGACACAAGGACGACAAAGCTTTAGAAGAAAGGCCGCAAAATTGAAAAGAAAGCAGTCCTTAATTTAGATAAGTATGTGTAGTTCAAAACTTAAATGGAGATTAGATTTTGAGCTCTGGTTTAAAAATTTATAGTATAACTGTTCATTATCATGTCTAGAAGTTACAATAAATGGTGACAACAGCATCAATAAAGCAGCACTAAAAACACAATGGACAATCAACGATCAAAGGTCGTGATGTCCTAAAGTGACTACATTGCATTCAACATATGTCCATTGTTTATGCTACATTGGTAACAAGCTCAACATGATAGTAGTTTGTTAAGCAATAATATATTCTTATGGATTCAAAGATACTACAATAACAAGGTCAAGAATGAGTGAACAATTCAGAAAAATCAAGATAATAAAAAATTTAAAATCTATCATAGAAGAAGGTCGCAAATCTTTTAAAAATTAAAAGCACTAAAATAATGGGCCGGCTACAACAACTCGTGATTCAATTATTTCAACATTAGACCAATCTCAAACCCATTGCATGTTTTGTTATTTTACTTTTATTGAACCAGTTGGTCTAACACTTTATTCAACCCAAAACCGGATTATGTAAACACCATAAATAGACACAAATGCTGTAATTGAATTCAGGATATAAGATTTTTGTTTTCTCCCTTTTCTAATCTCTCTTCTTCCTCTTATTCTTTGGAGACCTGCTGCTTTTAAAAGTAGACATTAAGAACATCACTTCCTGCAGCATTAGCAATAGCGGGCACCTCTAATCTTGCCAGTCCTTCACTCTTGTTCTTCTTCATCAAATTGTGGTGGTTTGGACTTTCAACTGTTGCCTACCACGCTATTCAGCTACGGTTATCTCTGCAGCTAGCTGCATTTTGTTGCTTCCAGCTCCTTCCACCGCCTTATTTACTTGCAAGCTTCAATATTCCTGCAAGAATCCTCAAGATCTCCTTTACTTCTTCCCATCGGACAGCCTCCCTTCAATCAACACGTTCCAGCCTCGGTTTTTAACCTTCAGCCAGCACATTCCATCAACAGTCTTACCAACCTAAAACATTTTGAACATCAAGAACAACAGTTTCAAGACCAGCATTTCCTCTGACAGCCCAAACAGCAACAAATTCAGCCAGTTGCTGGGTCATCTCCTAATTTTTCCTTCTTCCTTTTCAAGACTGCATCAGGTCCCAATTCTTGGTATCAAGAACCACTTCTTTTATTTCCTTTCAGCAGCCACCAAAGACCTCTCAACATGAAAAATGCAGATTTGGTAGAAGCTCTCCAAACAATAAAAAACAATCAAGAATTACAATTCTCCCAAATCCAAAAATCTCTACAACAAGCCAATGTTTAATTTGCCTCCATTGGCTCATCACTTAAACAATTTCACGCTTTCATGCATTCTATTGACAAGAGTCCTGATATTTTGTGCATTGGCCAACCACCACCTCCACTCCATTAAGATCCTTTATCTTCTGTCGGCATACTTAGTTCCGTCGATTGAATCCATTCTCCACAACCGCCACCATTTCCAACAAGATTCTCTTTTGTTAAATCAATGAAAATTAAACTTCCTCGCTTTAATGGATTCGACATTAAAACATGGACCTTTAAAGCACCGGAATACTTTGATTTTCATAGAACTCCTATTATCATCGTGTTAGCATAGCTTCCTTTCATCTTGAAGGACCTAAAGCTATTTATTACCAAGGGTTACGCATGAAAGGTCTTTCTATTTCTTTTCAATCTCTCAACCTTGAGGGCAAAATTATTTTTAATGGCAATAAGAGTGTTAAGCAACAATATATTCTTGTGGATTCAAAGATAGTATAACGACAAGGTCAATAATGGGTGAACAATTAAGAAAATTCGCATCAAGATAATAAAATATTTGAAGTTCTATCATAGAAGAAGAAGTAAATCTTTCAAAGATTGAGACTACAACAACGAGCCAGTTACAACAACTCGTGGTTCAATTTATTTAAGGATTAAACCGGTCTCAAACCCATTGCATGTTATTTATTTTATTTGTATTTAACCAGCTGGTCTAACCCTTTATTAAACCCAAAACCGGTTTATGTAAACACTATAAATAGATTCAAAATGCTGTAATTGAATTTAGGAAATAAGATTTTTTTTTCCTTCCTTTTCTAATCTCTTTCATCCTCTTATTCTTCCTTAAAGAGTCTACAGCTATTCAAAAGGTGGCTTACCCTTCTGATGTACATCAAGAAGTGTAACTCAATCATAGGTCGTTTTGGCCCAAAACCAATTAAGCAACCAAGATTTGGTTATACATTGTTACGGCCAATATTTGAAGGGGGTTTGCAGGGAATGCAAACAATTCCGTTATCCTCTTTATGCTCAACTCTCCTATCTAATTCTCACCCAAAGAATTCTCATCATCATAAGAAGCTCCATCCCAATTTCTTTTTCATATAATTGTGTTAGGAGATTGGAATCTGCATATAAAAATTTCCTTTATTAGAATAGTTCAATCTCAAACTTACAAATTCCATATTAATCCTTTTTATTTTATTTTTCTTTCATTAGGAATTTTCAAATCAGGAAGTTTCAATTTTTAGGGATTGATTTAATGACCAAATTATTCTTAAAATAGCTCACCTCCAGGTATAAATGTTTAATGTTATTGCAATCTTATATATAAAAATTGGAATCATCTTTTACCACATGCAGGTTTGCATAGATCTTTTTGTTGAATCCTAAATAAAATATCTACACTTTGTTTTCCGTTCTATTTTAGCAGGATTTTGTTACGCCTGCTCCCACGCCGGCCCAGGAGGGGCCGGCAGACTAGTCCTGGTCTATGCGCTGCGGAAGAAAAACAGGGAGAGGGGGGCTGAACTCCTGTGGGCCCCATGAGGGGCTTAATGCAATTTTTGGGGGAATGATTTGAATGTATGGGTTAATAAGGTAAGTTGTAATTCTCCTTTGATGTGAATTAGGTGAATAGGAGGGAATTAGGGGCATCTTGAATTGGAAGGTGATTTGAGATCTAGGGTTCGTGTGCTTTGGGCTCTTGGCATTGTTGGAGATTTGGAGAGTTGTTCTTTCTCTCAAATTGAAGAACAATTGTATCCTTGCTATTTTATTTCTACTTCTAGTGGAATACAAGGCTATTATTGAGTTTTCTCTCAGATTTCTCATTGTTTTCCCTGTGTTGGCTGCTGTACCCTACTGAATCAGCAGTTTTCTTGCTGTTGTCCACTCCGATTTCGATTAGGTTTGCTTGTGAACTCAAGTATTCCTTAGGGTTACTTGCAAACTCAAGTATTTCCTATCAAATTGGAATCAGAGTATCGATTTGGGACCATCGGCGGCTGAAATTCTAAAATTTCAGCGGATTTTTTGTTCAACCGGAAGATCTTGTGTTTCTTGGGAAGAGAAATGTCCGGGAAGAATGTAGAAGTCTTGGAAGGCTAGATCGGTCAATTGAAATCAGATTTGGAGGGAAAATTCTTTGATTTTCAAAACCAAATCACCTCCAACAATGAAAGGATAGAAGGGAAATTCACGGTGATGGAGTAGATGTTGAAGAAACTGCTGGAGTTGAAGACTAATCCTACGACATCGGAAGCGAGAGAGACCAATAGAGGCCATGGCGTAGGAGGGAATCCGAACCCGTTTAGGGGGAGGAGAATTCCAGAAGTGGAGATCATTGAGGGAGAGGACGCTATGTCACCTCTAGAGCCACTTTTTAGAGAGGAGATGAGTTTGGGAAATGACCAGAGGAGTGCTGATTTCGTCGGGAGAAGGTAAGAATTTCATCGCCGGGGTGCTGATTTTGAATGGAGGGGAATACGATAAAGAATTTGGGTATAATCACCGGATGGAAGATCGTGACAGTTGGGGAGCACCTCCCTTTCGAGGAATGGGAGGTTATGGAGGATTCAAGGGACACGGGGGAGACCCACGGGTGAGGAAGCTGAAGATGCCCGTCTTTGAGGGTGAAGACGGCCATGGATGGATCTACAAGGTGAAGCATTACTTTGTTGTCAACGGGTTGACAGAGGAAGAGAAGCTGACGGTAGCGGGATTGTGTTTGGAAGGAAAAGCCTTGGCATGGTATCAGTGGCGTGATAGGAGGGAGCCTATCCGGAGCTGGAGAGAGTTCAAAGATTACTTATTAGAGCGTTTCCGAGCCGATGGGAGAGAAGACTTCTATGAGCAATTCTTTGCCTTCACTCAGGAGGGAACTATGGCAGATTACCGGGACAGGTTTGAGTATTTGGCTAGCAGATTGGATCATATTTCAGAGCCAACCCTAAAAGGGAACTTCATGAAGGGGCTTAAACCTGAGATACAAACAACAGTCAGGGCGCTGGAGCCGAGGAACCTAGGGAAGGCTATGGAACTGGCGCAGTTGGTGGAAGAGCAGAAGAAATCAGAAAGAGGAGCTCGAGGAAACTGCTTAGGAGGCTCTTACAGGACGACGACCACTCTTCTAGCACCCAAGGGGTCTGCAATGGCTGAAAGAGAAGAGTATGTTTACAGAAGACGAGGTGCAAATGACAACAAGTAATATAGATTTTTGTGTTTTAGTGGCTCTTTATTATGAATGTTGTAGTATTATGTTTAATGAATTTTATCGTCCGACTTTCCATACCCGCCTCGTAGATCGAGCATCCGGGCCAGGTCGTGACAGAACTATCCAGGGGAATCATACAAGAAGACTACCACCTTCTTTCCATCAAAAGGGGCAGCGCCAGGGAGTCTGAAGGAAGCACTAAAGGAGAAACTGGAGGGGGGAATGGGGACAATTCAAAAAGCTGACAGAGAAGAAGATGCAGGATAAGAGGGCAAAGGAGTTGTGCTTTAGATGTGATGAGAAGTACATGTCAGGGCATATGTGTTATGACCGAACTCTTCAGGTTCTCCTTGTCTGTGAAGATGAGGAAGACGAGGAGGGAGGTGGGAGCAGATCTGAAGAGAAGGTGAAGTTGGACCTGGATGTAGCAGAAGTCTCTCTGAACTCTATAGTGGGATTCACTCCGAGTCACAATATGAAAGTGAAAGGAGAGATAGCTGACCGTGAGGTGGTGGTGTTGATTGATAGTGGGCCAATCCACAATTTCATTTCCACCCAGATCGTTGAGCTGTTGGGGATGGAGTTAGTGGATACAGGAGGCTATGGGGTGATGATGGGCACGGGAAAGGTGGAAATGGGTAGAAGAGTTTGTAGAGTGGTAGTGCTGAAGATTCAGGGGTACGGTTACTGCATTGAGGGGGAGAGACTATTGTATCAAGGGAGGTTTGTGATGCCACGAACCTCCATACATATTCCACACTTGTTACAGGAGTTCTATGGCAGCGCAGTTGGAGGCCATTCAGGAATTCATAAGACATATAGGAGGCTGGCAGCGGAACTCTACTGGAAGGGGATGCATAAAGACGTTGAGGAGATGATGGCGATGTGTGCCAAAGAAACAAATACATGACCATGGCTCTAGGAGAATTACTACAACATTGACACTTCCAAACATAGTTTGGGAGGAAGTGTCCATAAATTTCATCGACGGCTTACCAAGATCAGAAGAGTTCACGATCATTATAGTGGTGGTTGCAGACTTAGCAAATATGTACACTTCATCCTCTTACGACATCCTTACACCGCAGTGTCAGTAGCAATAGCATTTATCAGGGAGGTTATGAGACTGCATGGGATTCCTGAATCGATTGTGTCTGATCAAGATAAAGTGTTCCTCAGCCAGTTCTGGAGGGAGCTGTTCAAGATGTAGGGCACTGTCCTTAAGAGAAGCACCGCCTATCACCCACAGACAGATGGGCAAACAGAGGTGGTGAAACGGAGTCTGGAGACCTATTTGCGGTGTTTTGCTTCTAAAACACCGTAGTTGTGGGTAAAGTGGTTGCTGTGGGCCAAGTATTGATACAATACATCGTACCATTCTGCCTCTCAGATGACTTCATTTAAAGAACTATATGGAAGGGACCCCCCACACCTAGTACACTATGGAAGAGGAAGTACACCGATTTCTTCAGTGGAGCATTATCTGGAAGAAAGGGACAATGTGCTAGAGGAGTTAAAGAAACATCTGCTGAGGGTGCAACAAATTATGAAGAAGCAGACGGACTCACACAGGATGGACATGCAGTTTGAAATGGGGGAGAAGGTGTTCTTGAAGCTAAGGCCCTACAAGCATAAATCAGTGGCTAACAGGCGGAACGAGAAACTGGCTCAGATGTATTTTGGTCCCTATGAGATCTTGGGGAAGATTGGTGCTATGGCGTATCCTCTGAAGTTACCCGCCTCCGCTACCATACACCCGGTGTTCCATGTGTCACAGTTGAGGAGAGCTCTAAGAGAGCATGCAGTTAGTGCAGAGCTACCAGCATCAATGACGGAGGAGTTGGAAGTGACTTTAGAACCCCTAGAGCTTATAGGGGTAAGATCACATAAAGAGGGCAATAAGAAAGTGCTGATTCGATGGAAGGATCTCCCTGATTTCGACGCTAATTAGGAACCATTTGAAAGAGTGAAAGAGCAATTTCCCTCTTTTCACCTTGAGAACAAGGTGAGTTTTTGGAATGGGAGTAATGTTATGCCTGCTCCCATGCTAGCCCAGGAGGGGCTGGCTGGACTGGTCCTGGTCTATGTGCGGCGAAAGAAAAACAAGGAGAGGGGGGCGGAACTCCTGTGGGCCCCATGAGGGGCTTAATGCAATTTTGGATGGAAAGATTTGAATGTATGGGCTGATTAGGTAAGTTGTAATTCTCCTTTGATGTTAATTAGGGGAATAGGAGGGAATTAGGGGCATCTTGAATTGGAAGGTGATTTGAGATCTAGGGTTCGTGTGCTTTGGGCTCTTGGCATTGCCGGAGATTTAAAAAGTTGTTCTTCCTCTCGAATTGAAGAACAATTGTATCGTTGCTATTTTATTTCTTCTTCTACTGGAATACAAAGCTATTATTGAGTTTTCTCTCAAATTTCTCGCTGTTTTCCCTGTGTTGGCTGCTGTCCCCTACTGAAATCAGCAGTTTTCTTGCTGTTGTCCACTCCATTTCGATTAGGTTTGCTTGCGAACTCAAGTATTTCCTATCAGATTTCACTCAAAATGTATGGACGGCATTGCTGATCTCTTACAACCTTCATTGTTGAGTTCTAGAGAGCCTTCAGCTCTCATTATTTATCTCATATAGCCTTAATTGGTCAATCCTAGAAAACCTTTCAGCATGAACTGATCTTATGACTGATTATATGTTTTTCAGTTTGATTTCTTATGACATCCCTTATTCGAAATATTATAAATCTCTGAGAACCAAACTGTAATCATCAATGACTCCAATCAGAATCCATCAATTGGGGAAATTCAGAACATCATTCTCTCATATCGGTTGAATAGGAAGAAATTATATACCATGATCACAAATTATGAAATGTTTCAAAAAAGAAGGATGCTAAGTCATCTGATGAAATAGGGTTAGGTTCAGGAGATCCAAAATCTAATGTTTTAATGAGGAAGATTTAAGATTTATCTTGACATTCGAATTTCAAGCAGCCAAAGATCAACAGAAACAATATGTTCTTCACTACTACTCCAGAGCTCTAGGAAGTAGTTCAGCAAGCCCACTATAAGATACAATATGCCACTCTAATAAGCCTGGTACATGGTGGGCTCCAAAAATTCGCGCCCCAGCCTCTCTGCAGATCCCCTATCTTTCTTCGGGTCGTCGAGAAGAGCTTTAACATTTAAGTTATGTGGCAAATTTTCAGAAGACAGATTGGATTGTGAATAAGACACTACCCAAAGATTTTGCCCTCATTTTGCGGGGACTTTAGATCTGAGTTTAGCTTTCTATAGGCGTAATCCCATATAGTTAATTATCCCTCCCGAGAATGAGAGAGAATGATGCAGGACTAAGCGAAATAAGTCATGCAATTAGAGATTTAGGCTAATATAACATCAAAGACAGCAAAATAAACTTCAAAAAAATTAAGAACAATAAGAAAATTTGAACTATTAGATCATGTGATAGCAATAAACTAACAAGTAAATGCTAAACATTAAAGAATAGGTGAATCAATTTAAACTAGCTAACATGGGTTTGTACAAGTCCAACATTTAATTAAGGGACTAGTCACTAGAGTTTTTGATCACTCAAATTTAAGTAGGGCTTGGCAGATTAATCAACAAATGTGAAATGATGTTACTAAAAATGAAATGAGAAGATCAATATTTAGTTAGAAGAAGAACAAAGGAAGGGTTTGATACTTAGCTCATGAATGGGAGGAATGAAGTCCTTGATGAAATGATGGCTAGCTCCTCCTTGGAGTCCCCTTGAAACCCTTACTCTTTGATAAATCGATGTCCTCATTGCAAAAGTAGATGCTAGGTTTCCTTGGAAAGGTAAAATAGCGAGGAAAAGAAAATTTAAGCTATAGGAGGATTTGGAAGTGGAGAAATCAGCTTGGGAGGTGAAAATGTAGAGTTGGTTGTTTGGGAAAGAGAGAGGGCTGATGTGGTTTGCTTGGGAAGGGAAATATTTGGCTTGGAAAAAGGAAAAGTTAAAGTGGTTGCCTTGGGAAGAGAGAGAATTAAATGTAGCTTGCTTGGGAAGGGAACTAGTTGGCTTGGGAAAAAGAAAAGTTAAAGTGGTTGCTTTGTGAAGAGAGAAAAGTTAAAGCTATTGCGGGTTTCCAAAGGTCACAATTAATTCAGACAAATGCTCAATTAATGTGAATTAATTACAAGATTGGGAAGCCCATGAGTCTAGAATGTTGGGGAGAAGGTGGATATGGGTAGAATGGAAGGAAGAGAAGAGGTGGTGGATTGAGGGCAGCAGGTTGCTACAGCGGTGGGGATTATTGGATCGCTAGGGAAGGAGAAGAAGAGATGGAGAGGGAGATGATATCAACCAAGAGCTCAAAAGCTGTTGGGTATTTCTTTGCCTTTCTCCAAAGGACTTTACACAAACTCAACTCACCAAGAGAAGAAGAAACATATAACTAGAAATTTTATATCAAATATTCATCATCCTTACAAGAGAACAATGGGTATATAGGCACCAAAACATAAAAGAAATAAAAGGCAAGAAGGCCCTTGGCCAAACAACACAAAAGCTCTCTCAAGGGAGGGTAAAACTGTAACAAAAATAAATAACACCACATAAATCTCCTATATAATATGAAAACTAAAAATATAAAGACTCAATCAAGGTTGTAGATCTTCAGCCTCTACAGTGATAAACCCTCCAAGCTCTGATGTCCCCTTCATAATTTTCGATTAAGGCTAGTCGTCAAACAGGTACGTAGAGATACGCATTATCTAGTGTATAGTAGCAACATGAGTTTGGGTGTTTGAGAATTTGATATTTAAAATTAGAAATTTCATCATGCACTTGAAACAGATGGTGAGGGAAGTGATGATGGACCCGATCAAGATCCCATGGTTCCGTCATCCCAGGTCTACTTAGTCAGAGGAGGTAGTCAACCCCACCTAACAGAATGATCATTGTCGGAAGCCATGGGTTGCTTCATCCAAGGGTACCTTATAGTCCTGGGGAAAATATTTGTCTAAGGGGATAAATTTGAATCCACCTTAGCTAACAATAGACATGGGTTGCTCCAAGCTAATCCACTCAGACATCAAGCTTTTCTTTATCAATAAATCCATGATATTAATTTTAGCTTTTATCTTGAATGGTTTTTGTCATCCTCAAGAAGAAAGTTTGAGGTCCTCGTTTTCTAAGTCAACTTCTTACCTGTAAGAACTTTCATTAACTTCTCATTGTCATGATGATGAGAGGTCCTTCTCTGGTTCCATTCCTACATGAATTATGGTGTTCTTGATTCACCATACAAATCTACTTGCTAAACATCTTCATCATCAGAACCATCTAAAGTTAAAAGAGCACAAATTAGTTAGTGAAGTCATCGAAGGTTTCTCCATGTAATCTAGATACCTTAGCTTTTCGTGTCTACTCTTGAAGGATCTAGAGCCAAGAACAATTCTCCTATCTTCTTGCAGCTGTTTTCATCAACACCTTGGACAAACATTTTTTCTAAACCTATCACTCCAATGTCAAGAACCTGATCCAAAACCACCAACAAGACACCAGAAACAAGATTCGTCTAAATATCAAGCAAGCAGACATGGAGACAGGTTGTTAAGCCGAATTCATATTTTAGAGCAAGAAATACTCGTTTCATTAAATGATGTGAAACCAACATGCGCAGGAGCCCATTTAAGAAATTGTAAGAATAGTTGACAATGAATTACCAATTAATAACTTATCGAAATAACAAGCAAGATCGTCAAAGAATCTTAGTTTTCAACTAGCTTAGGCGAGGAAGTACCTGTAGATTAGCCAAAACTCCTAAGTAACCAAAGATAGTAGCAATACCAAAAGCTATTAATCAGCAATCCGCAACTTAATAAAGAGAGTTTTCACCTTGGGGATGGATCACTCAACTACACTAGGCTTAGCGGAAAAAGGTCTTCAGCACACCCAACGATGCCACGAGGGCGGTAGCAACACCAATGGCCTTGATCCATGGAAAGGTCGGCGGTGGCGGAGATGGCGGGGATGGATGGCCTTGGAGGATCCAATCGTAGTCTTGAAATTGGTTGTCTATGACGTCCACGAGAGTAGGCAAGATGCGATTTAGATAGTCCTCAATAGTGTCGTCGAATCCAAATCCAACGTCAAAGAACTCCGAACGGGTGATGAGAATAATGTCGTAGATGTCGTACACGAATCTGCTATCAAGCTCAGGATCCGCCATTCGACATTGAAGTGGAGAGGGGAGGCGTCGTATTCTTCTTTCCTTGGCTTCTCAATTCTCAAGAGAAGCAAGATGGGGGGCGGCGGGAGCAGGCGGAAGAGGATAGCCAGCGGTTTCCAAGAGGGATCCAATGGCAATAGGTTTAATCCCAAAACCTGAAATTAATTTCAGATTTAAGTGGATTTAGAGGGAAAATTCAAATTGAAATTAATTCAAATTTGAAAGGAGTTAATGGGAGTTAATGGCAAATAATGAGAGCCCATTAAGGGAGGCCGACGTATGAGAGAGAGGGGAGGAGGTTATGTTAAAACCTGAAATTAATTTCAGGATTTGAATGAAATTTGGGGGGAATTTGGTTTGAAATTTGATTTCAAATTGGCTTGGAATTAATGCCTTAAGTGAGCATTAATTGGAGAGAGAGAGAGAGGGCCTAGTAAGGCCGGCGGCATGGAGAGAGTGGGAAGAGGGAGAGATCACAAGGAAGAGGTGTCCAATTTGGGGAGATGACGCGGAAATAAATTTAAAAGGCTCCAATTTAATTTAAATTAAATTGGAATTCTTCATGAAAACTTTCTTAAATTGGAAATCCAAATTAGGAAAGAATTTGAAATTTGAAATTCAAATTTCAAATTTGAAACTGCGGAAGGAGGGATTGGGCGTGTGGGGAAGATCGTGGGCAAGGTGGCCGGCCGGGGCCGTGGGAGTGGCCGGCGGCGGGCTTCCAAGGGGGCGGCG